ATCCTGATGGACTCCACTTTGCACACAGTAAGGGAGAGGTTTCTCCCGCCCTGTATCCCCCAATACAACCTCCCTCATCCAGCCTCTGGATCAAGTTGTGATTTGCTGCTTCAAGGCTGCTTACGCGAAGCTCACCTTCTCCTGAATGATCAACGCGATGGACGCTGATCTGGATTGTCCATTGCATCACCTACGTCAAGCAGGCAGTGGATGCAATCAAGCCTGAAACGGTGAGTGCATGCTGGTGGGACGTGTGGACGGAATGGGTGCACAAATTCAAGGGATTTCCAAGCACTGCCACTGTGGTGGGAGAACATTGTGCAGATGGCCAGGCACGTTGCTGCTGGTGGCTTTGTTGACGCCACTCAGTAAGAAGTGGAAGAGCTAATGGAGGCCCAACAGGTATTGAAGAGTTACAAGAACTTGCCAGATCAAGCTCAGAATACAAAGCTGAGGATGAGGATGGTGAGCATGATCCAGCAAGCTGGAACCTGCATAAAATTTTCGAACTCTTCCAAGTCATAAATCATGCAAATGATCTGTTTGCACAGTTTGACCATGGAGAGCAGCCTTAAGACGATCTGTGGCATCACAGGCACTCTGAGACGGTACAAGGAAATGTTTGATGAGCTCAAGAGACAACAGCAGCAGCAGCAGCAGCAGCTGCCAATCACCACCTTCCTCACAAAGAAACCAGCAGCAGTAGATGTGTCCAGACAACCCACCTCTGGATCTGAACCACAGCCAAGCACTTCTGGCTACTGGTCAACCCCCCTAGTCTTCATATCATCTGCAGCAGCATCCAGTGAGGGAGAGGAGAAAGACGACTGAGAAGACTGAGAGCTGCATTTGTCCTTCACCAGTAAGTGTAGCGATTTTTTTTAAAAAATCACAATTTGCTGGGAGAGAAACAAACCACGAGGGCTGGTTTGCTAAGGCAGTTCAGTGGTTTGTTTCCTCTAGGCTTGGCAAAGAGTGGAGCAGGGTGAGTACAACTTGAGCAGAACGCACCTGCGCATTGTTTGTTCATAGTTCATTTCAGACTATGGCTTCCCATGATGTTTGGATGGTACCAATGCCTTGTTTATAATAACTTTTATTTGTACTTACCATGAATAATTTAAAGCCAGGAAAACTACCTGTATTCATTATCACCTGGACTAATGTATGTCAGCTTATTTGCACCTATGTTTGATGAAAAATGCTAGATAAATTTTAGGATCATGGGTATTTCCAATAACAAACAAACAAACAAAAACAAACATTTTTATGAGGTCTGATACTATACCTCTGCCCTACATAAAAACGAAGCCTAACTAAATTTCCTGACAGCTCAGAAAATACATTTTCATCATATATAGGTATTATACAGCTATCTCACTTCAGACGTTCTGAATGCACTAGCAATGGTACAAATTCGGAAGCAAAACAGTTGGTATCTATATATATGGGGTTGAGCTGCCGGAGCTTGTTGAGTTTTTTGTTTTGTTTTTTAAGGGGAAGGACTTCTCTTATTTGCCCACTTGCCCCACCGTTGCAGAAAAAATTGTAAACATTCCCTGCCGCCCGCCACCTCTGCTGCGTAGCCCTGAACACAACACTACAGAGGTGCTGAAACTGTTCTTAACCTGAAGCACCACTCAAGCAGGAGGCTAATGGGGCCTCCCGCTGCCGCCGTGCCGCCGGAGCCCGATTTCTGTTCTCATCCTGAAGCAAAGTTCTTAACCCGAGGTAATATTTCCGGGTTAGCGGAGTCTGTAACTTGAAGCGTATGTAACCTGAAGCGTATGTAACTCAAGGTACCACTGTACTAGGTATGAATTCAGTTGTATGGTAGCAACCAGTACCCATGATGACAAAATGTCAGCAGTATTACGTGATAAATAGGTAGAGTTGAGGTCAGGGCTGGCCCAGGACATTTTGCTGCTTGAGGCAAAATGCCCCCCATCCCACAGATCTGAGTCTGCGCCACTGCACTTTCTCTGCCCATGCCACGCTGCTGCCACGCACCTTCCCCGCTGCCATGCACTGCCACAGCCCAGCAGGTTGGTTCAGCAGTGGTGAGTGGCACAGTCCTTGGGCCCATATCTGCCGCCTGAGGCAACAAACTTATCTCACTTTATCAGCTGGCCGGTCCCTGGTTGAGGTCAGGAAACCGTTTTCAACACCTTTTGCCGTTATCTCTGCTGCTTCCGCTTATGAAATATCTACAGTAATGGTGGCAAGGACACATGAGGAGGTCTGTGGGTGCTTAAAGGAAGGTATTTATTGTAGTATTGGTGCTCTTCTGGTGTGCAAGTTTTTTGTAGTGTCCCCACAGTGTCATTGTCATCAAGCTGCCAGCGCGTAGGCATTTAATTTAGATTTACCCTTCCCAGGAAAACATTGATAAGGTAATAACATGTTTCCAATTTTCCAACAACCCATTTACAGTATTAAGCTGTCATCTGGAAGAACCCTGTGAGGGTATTCATATTTCAAAGAAAAATGTCTCTAAGTGACTTACGACATACTAAAAAAATATCACAAATGAAAGTCATTTTCAAAAAAACATAGTAAAAATTCTATATTTCAGAGCAGTGCTAGTAATAATTAGATAAAATATCCTCTGGATTATCAGTATAAATTTAAACAACTAGCAGATGTAGACTACTGAAAGACAAATAGCCCCATCCATCAAATATACAAGCATATATTTATTGGTAGCTGCACTCTCACTTCTGTTATCTCCCCAACTTAAACTCACACTAAAATTTTATGCTGTTTCACCACAGATAATCCTTCAATAATACTTCGCGTTGGGTAGACAAACAGCACAATTAAAAAGTGGAACAGATGGCTGAGCAAAAACAAAACTATTTTTTTTAAAAAAAACTGCTCAAGGAAGCCAAACCATGGATTTTTGAGTAGAAATAGTAAGACAACTACATTAAGCAAACATTTTTGTGTTTGAGGGGCACTGGAAATGATGGGAAAATAGAAGTCGCAGCAAAGTATCACAGAGCAGAGATTGGAGGATGTGATCCTACTTCCTCTTACCTATAAGTCCCACTGAAGTCAATCAAAAATCCCTTTGAAATGCAGATGCAAATGTCATGATTTCAAACAATTCCTGCCTAAACGGTGACTCACAAAGGAAACAATCCAATCTGTGAGATCATATCACAGTCAACTGAAGCGATGTTAGGACTAGAGTCAGGGTCTTGAATAGTCAAGACTGTTGGACCCAAACTGGTGAGACAAAAGTTCAAATCCCCTTTAGCCATGAAGCTAACTTGGTGGCCTTCAGTAGGTCACTATTTTGCAATCTTACACCTTACAAGGTAAAAATAGGAGAACCTCATATAAACTCCTGTGCAAAATAGGACGAGCACAAGGAGTCACCCTAAAAGGATCACTGAAGAATGAAGAACCAGGTACAAATATGACAGTGGGGGGAAACCTAAATTACAGAAACCTAAATTCACTAAATCACCCAGCTGAATTTAGTGTGGTTAACACAAAATCAAAATTTAATTCATTCTATGTCTGTTGTTCAGGGCTACAGAAAATATAGTCTATAGCAGGCATGTCCAACTTCCAAGAGACTGCGATCTACTCCCACTATTAATAAAAAATGGCAGTGATCTACCCATTAGATCGCGATCAACCAGTTGAACATCCCAGGTCTATAGGAAATATGGTCAACAAAGACCAAGCTAATGGAATAATGGTCCACAGTACGGCAAATGTAAGAATTACTGGATTACAAGTGTGACCTCTTAACAGTTGAAGAAACATATAGCTTCCCTCCAGTTGTTCTTTTTTTAAAATAATAATCTATGTACACATCACACCAACCATTACCACCAAAATATCCAATCCCTGACTTGCAGGAAGGTCAAAATCCACAGTTGGGCAACACCTTTACTGGACCAACAAAAATATCACAAAATAGTAGAGTGCCCTTTCTTATGGACTAAGATGAACTTCTGTTGCTTTTAATAGTAATAATAATAATAATAATAATAATAATAGCAACAACGATAATAATTGCATGGAATCTTGACTTTCCCCTCCTTGCTGTTCCAATGAGACTATTTTCAAAAGTTTAAAATCACAACATCCGTTCACTCAAGGTTGAACTGCCCTATCCAGCACACATCAGGGTTTTATTTTAAATAAAAACACATTTTTTTTCTTTAAGAAGTACATACACATTTGGTCTCTGCACAAACCCGGTTCCATTTTATAGTACCAGTTTGCTTATTTTTATTTTGAAATAGTTTCTTCTCGGTAGTGGCACCCGTCCTGTGGAACACCCTCCCATCAAATGTCAAGGAAATAAACAACTATCTGACTTTAAGAAGACATCTGAAGATGTTCAGGGAAGTTTTTAATGACTGATGTCTTATTGATTTTATCATCATCATCATCATCATCATCATCATCATCAATTCTGTTGGGAGCCACCCAGAGTGGCTGGGGAAACCTAGTCAGATGAGCGGGGTTTAAATTATTATTATCGTTATTATTATTATTATTATTATTACCTGTGCACTATTGTTTTGCCTGTTTGACAAGATTGTGGAAAAAGTATAGGGAGTGGGAAGCTTTCTTCTGTTAGAGTTATCAATAATCCTATGGCTTTTTAAAAGTATGTATAAACTGGTCACAGATTATAAGCCAGCAACATAGAGTGCAGAGTGTGTATTTCCTAATAGATACTGCATGCTTTGCATCTTCACCCAAGTAAAAAAAAATCTGAAGAATACAATACCTCAAACTGCTCACCACCTGAGACATCCACATAATCGGGGTGGGGTGGGGAGGGAATCCAACTTTCAGTAATTGTCTTTGTAGGCCAACATTTAAGCAGAGTAATTACTCTGCTACATTTCTATGTTCTTCTCTAAATATACTGCTTTGACCCACATCTAGGAGTCAACCTGTGCCTCAACCTGCCTTACTATCAGACTCTGCTATGTCCTCTACCTAGAATTTATCATGGTCCATCTTGCCCCCAGCCCAAATTTCCGTTGTCACGATCCACATGTTGCTGTTCCTCAGCAAGCACTTAGCTTCACCCCTTAGACCTGCAAGTCAGAGACTTGAGTTTAAATTTCCAATACTATTTGGCAGTGCTTTTTTATGGGGGTACGCATACCCTTAAACGTTTTGTGCATCTAAATTTGGCCTCACTGAGGGGCAGTATTTCAATATGAGTAGGAAAATGACAGTACCCCTAAACATTTTTTAGGGGGGGAAAAGCACTACTACTTGGACTTCTTATATTTCCTTTCTGACTGGGCTACTCAAGCAGTTGCTCTGGCATTGGATTCCCTCATTACTTGTTTTTATCCTGTATTTTATTCTGTGAACTGCCCTGAGATCTTATGATGAAGGCTGGTACATAAATCTAAATAATATTAATATTAATATTAACAACAGCAACAACAACACCACCACCTTCCTGATTTGCCACTAGGCCCAGTTTTTCACATAAACTAGCCATCCTTGCCCAACCCAAATCCTGATTAAAAACCTCTAGTAGATGCGCCTCTCTTAACAAGTTAGTTGGCACTTTCCATTAATGATCTGAACAATTAATATGTTAAAAACCGGTTGGGTTTTTTTGTTTTGTTTTTTTTAACATGATATTTTGGAAAGCCCGTTATCCACAGTGCTTTGAATTACTGCGAAAGGGGGAAAGCGACTGCTTAATTCAGTTGGGGGTGGGGAGGAGGAATTCTGAGCATGTATCCTCTTTCCCCCCCCAACAACAACAAAAATTCCTTTGAGCTTTTCTTTTTTCTTCTTCTTCTTTTTTAGGTACAAAGGTTGCAGACGCATGCGCAGCTTCTGGATTAACGCAACAGACCATTACAGATTTAAGAGCCGTTACGGTATATCAAGTGAGTAAACAAAAAAAAACTAAGGCAGATTTATACAATGACCACATTGGCACCCCGGGAGCCGTTACGGTCCATCAGGTCAAAAATCCACTTTTTAAAGAGCACCTAAATATGTGTGTAACCAATAGGCCTCAGGTCTCCAGAGTAACAAGCACACAGATTTTCAAAAACAAGAATAGAGAGGAGTTATGGGATGGTGGCAGTTTGGGGGGAGAAAGTAAGGTAAATCACCCACAATTTAAATGCCTAAACAGTATGTGTCTGGTTCAAACAGGTTTAAAATATGGGTTTTAAATAAACTTCTGGCTTCCTGTGTACAATTCTGCAAATACATTTCTGCCATCAATACAGTGAAAGCAAAGTTGTTTAACTTTGCAACGTAAGTCACATATTTAAATATAATGGAGGTCATACTAATAAAACTCCAAACTTGAATACCAGGCTTGGTAGCAACTAAACTCTATATTCCACTTCTCCTGCTATAAGAGAAGTCAGGTCTACATGGTTAACTTTCCCTCTCGTTGCTTTTGTTGCAAACCAGAGAATAACACTCCTATAAACATCTAACATAAAAGGCCAAGTGCAATGTTCCAAGTGAAACCCACCGTGAATCATTCTCCTACTTACAGTTTATTCTTGGCCTTCCCCTTTTTAACGCAGTATTTGTTCCAACGGAAAACTGAAGAAGAACTTCATCTCTCCATATGACCTGAGATAACAGTAACGTTGAAAGAATGGCCTGGCTTGTCAGGGATAATCCAAGGGCTGTCCGCAGCTACGCTTTTTTTTAAAAAAGCACACACACATGAGCCCAAAAGGACTAATAAATGCTAACTCTCAGCATGACACATCAGGAACTTTAAGCCCCTAACACCGACTAAGAAGAAAGTCTCCCAAATTTACCAAAATTATCTGCAACACAATGGAGAAGAGAAGGAATTAATCAAAGTCTCTCTCTTAATGCAATGCTTGATTGAACTATCCCAATCCCTTTTCAAATGGGATAACCAAGTGGCAAGTGACCTCGATGAAACATCCCAGAGAGGTACACAAGTACCACTTGTTCAATTTTTTCCCTTTTATGACCTCATTAGGAAGGATTTTGAAGGTTGCTCCTGAATATTAGAACAAAGTGTCTCAACACTACCTCTCTAGGATTCTTACGTCTCTTGTGTATGTGCTTTGTTTTTGTTTTGTTTTATTTTCCTCTAGCGGCGGCTTTTTGAATGGAATGTTTGGAACACACACACACACACACACACACACACACACACTTCTGGAGAAATAATCTACCATGCAAAAACAAATCCCTCAAAGTTACATTTCTTTCCCTAAATGGAGAGCCTTGGAAAGAGTCTAGGGCTTTTGCCAAAACCAACTCATGAGTCCATCTTTCTCTCCATCTCCCTTCCTGTTAATAGTCCCCATTAATTAGAGCTGGCTGCGGTTTTCACTTCCTTATCAGGAATGATGCAGAGGCTGCCAAATCAGCTAGTGTGAAAATATTCCATTGCCAGTAATGTGTTCCACCCCCCCCCCTTTCCCCTCTCCCTAAGTGTTTGTTGATTCCATGCTTGGATTTAATTTGGAGGATTGTATTTTATAACCAGAAACAAACAAACAGATTTATAACCAAAGATGGAAAGGCAAACAGCAAAAAAAAAAGGGGGGGGGGGGAGAAAAGCCGAGCCAAGCACTGCAACTAAGCCCACCACTTTTATTGACTTCTTAAAAACCAAATAACCTGGCATATTAGTGTGTGCATTCTGCAACAGACATTCAGCTCCATTGTACTACTTAGAAGGGAATAAAAGGAAACCCTACTGTTTGAAATCCAGCGGAACATCCCCACAACAGAGCACAACTGTTCCCTCATGCATGAATGGGAAGGAGATGAAAGAAAAGATGGACTTCTGAGGTGCAGCAAAAAACAAAGACAACAAAAGTGCTGATCATGAGGGAATGACACAACTCATTGCCGCAAAAAGGATGAGAGAAAGGAGCTCAAACAATAGTGTAGACAGCTAAGTGACATGTAGAAGAATTGAAAAATCTACAGAAGTGCCTTTTCTCTCCACACTTGACGAGAAACAATTAAATGTTGGTACATCTGTCATAAAAAGGATAATTGAAACCTGTTACCGTCATTATGGACAGCAACTTAACTACCAAAACTGTAACTGTCCAATTAAATGTTGCCCCCTCTGTTATCTACACCACTTGCTAAAATGAAAAGCTTTGATTCCTCTGATAATTTGCCATGTCTGAATCTGTTATAAATTATATACTTGAACAGGCACATTCTAGAAGGTGCATATACACAGAGAGAGAGAGAGACTGGATAGAAGGACAGGCAAGGAACAAAACAGGCGAGTTCCAAGCACACAAGTTGCTTCTCTGCCAAATAGTTAAGGTTTTCAGCAGAGAGCCCAAGAACAGGATAATCACCCCAAAAACTCATTAGACTTTGTTTACCCGTCCAGATGTCCACCAGCCTGCGAAAACAAAGATGCTCTAAACTAATCTACTGACTGTTGCTACTTGCTTGAGAACATGCGGCGGCCAACTAAACTGAAGAGCAGTTATTGACCCTGTCAGGATACCTGATTAATGGATAAACGCTGTAATTGATTAGCGGAGAAGTGTGAATTAAAATGGAGAGTACAGCATCAATAATGAATCTCTGACAAAAGAGAGCTGACATAAAATGTAAAACGATTGCCTGCAGCTATATCTCATCAAAGACACACTTTTTCTTAAAAACAGAAGAAGGGGGGGGGAGATTTAGCCCAGGGTCCTGTCCTCTGCAGTTCTTTAGTCTTTTCTCTTGGTAATGATGCTGTGTGTTAAACCACCAGCAAAATGTTATGGGAACGACTCATCAATCCACCTTCATACTTCAAGCTATGTGAGGCAGTTAAATGACTCCATTATCCTCCCACTTCTTTATCCCTTCAAAGATACCCTAGACTTCCTTCATTTGTTCACCCTGAATTCCCTGCTATTATGTCGGCTGAGAACCGTAAATTTTGCATGCACCCAAGCACCCTGCTCTACAGGTTGTTGCAGCCGCTGCTGTAGAGAACAGGCCTGCCCAACTTTTGTGACGCACTGAGCCAAAAGCAAGTCAGCAGCAATATATATGTGCTCATGGCCCCCCTGGAGCCCAACAGAGCTCCCTGATTTTGCAACTGTGGTTGGACCTTTGACTGAGGATATCCAGGTTTAAATCCCCACTCAACCATTAAGGATGTTGGGTGACATTGGCCGCTCCCAAATCACTCTCTAGATGCCTAATCTGTTGTGAAAATAAGATTTGGCCTAAGGAAACAAGCGTGCTGTCCCGGGCTCCTTAGCAAACAAAATAAACAAATAAAACAAATAAAACTGTTAAGCAGCTAGCAAGGAGCATATGTTTATATTACTTACTATTTAATGCATTTCATAAATGTATACCCCACTTTTTGAGCAACTTCCTCCACAAAGCACCTTACACTCTCCAATAAAAAACAACCCCACCCAATGACAAAATGTAAAAGTACATAATACAGTACAGCCAAAACAACAAACCAGCATAAAAAGTGAAGTACAAATATAGAATTTAAAAATGTAATACAGATCATAAAGAACATTTAAAACGTATACAAACAAGCAAGGAGTAAAACTGCAGAAGTAAAGTTTCAGAAATATCATGGGATCGTTAGGAAAAGTTTAAGAGAAAATTAAGTTTTTGACGGAAATAAGAAATTGTAACAATAAGCAAAAATTGTAACTACTGTATAAGCAAGAAATTCTGCTGGTGTTTTTTTAGCTCAGCTCTTAAGAATTACCAGCTGTGCCCCAAGATAAAAATAGAACGTGTGTATGTGTTATTGAGGAAATCCCACTGAATTCAATAGGAAATCAATTCTAAGTTGACTTTTTAAAGACTGTGCTGTCGACCAATCATATTCAGGAAGAAATATGAGAGCAGGGTATGATCAGTGGTGGCTGGTGCCCATTGGAACTGCTAGGGTAGAAGCAGAGAGGCCAACAGTAAAGGGAGTCAGAGACAATGACAGGCAGAACCCAAAAATTCTACTTTTCTTCCCATCATCCTCTCTGCTAAGTTGAAGAGACAACATGGAGACTAAGGAGGCTGACTCTGACAGCTAGGAGCCATTCGTTTATAAAATGCATAGCACCTTATTAAAAAATTGCTTGGAGGTGTGTTTTGTTTTGCTTTTATATCCAAGAGGTATGTAAATTTTGTTAATAAAATATTTGAGCCCAACATTTTGTGTCAAAGGATTCGGTAATTTTTGGCAATTCACCTTGATTGTAACATACTGGCATAAGAACTCTGTAACATCTTGCGTTTCGGTTGCAGTAGGGGTGAAACAGTCCAAAAGCACAACCTGTTAAGGAAGATGATCAAGGAGGTGACATTTCCTGTGGTTCTTCAAGCCGTTCAGCTAAAGAACGAACTTCACCTTCCCTAACAATGTTTGAAAGGACAGAAAAGGTGACTGGCACTAAGCACATTTCAGAAGCTCAAATGTGGGGGTATTCAACGCAAGAGAATAGTTTTATTAACTTGCTTTTAGCGGTTATAATTTTGTGAAACATAGAACCATGCATACAGGTATTACTGTATGGAACATAATTAACACACTTCATTAAGTTTATCAAATATTTGAAACCATATGTTTTAGACCAATCCTACAAATGCATACATCTTTTAACCATTCTAATCTGCAAAAAGATGTCCGTTGCAGTAAATGCTTTTAATTCTCAGTATGAAATATTGTCAGGTCAGCTTGAGACAGTAGTTAAAATTAACAAAAGCACTGTAAGTGCAAGTTTAAAAGCAATAACAATAGCAACAATAATAACAGACAACAACAATCACTCCTTTTGTATGCTGACAGGCCTTTGTAGCTGTTTTTTTTGTTTTTGTTTTAATAACCAGTCATTTTAATTATTATCTCTCTTGTTTTAATACTGTTTTTTGTTTTAATTACACTTCCTTGTATGCATGGTATGATTGGTGGAATAGAAATACTTTTATAAATAAAATAATATACAAGATAGGATAAACAGTTGCACAATGTTTTCAAATGTCACTGTAAATAAAATACAGTGAAAATGTAGTAGTTTAATAAGGTAATTTTCTGTATTTAGCTTACCTAAAGGTTTTAGCAAATGAATAATTTAGCAAAAGGTTTCACATCAGTTTGTACGATTATTAAATATGTATCTACAGGGCAATGTGTATCCCAAAAATACCAAAAAAACAAACAAACAGGAATTTCTGGCATAAACATTCAGTTTAAATCTATACACAGGAAAACCAGGGCAACCATCTTGTGGCAATGCAGATATGCTATTTGCTAGTTGCCATGATACGAAGAACCTGCATGGCACAAATGACAAAGGAATGCCTGCAGAACTATAGAATTACAGACACGTAGTCTCCGCATTTGAAGTGCCATTGAACAATCCACCACAAGATTCAGTGCTATCCAATGATATAACCAATTTCTTACCCCTTTTCAGCTGAGCCCCATTTTTTACATGATGGCATATTTCACTAATGATATGCAGATCAATCTGTGTGTAAGAAAACCAGCAATACTAAAACTTAACAAGAGCAGCAGCAACACATTTATATATATAGGCTTGGATTCAAAGCTTTCTAGTAACTTCCACCCATTCAAGGTGCTCCAAGATTTCCACTGACTCTCCTCTACCTGAGAGTAGACACTTTGAAATTAAAGGACCTAAGTTACTCATGTCCATTCGTTTCAGTGGGTTTGCCAGGTAACATTGGATTCAATTCACTTAGCTTGACAAAGTGAGAAGACATCAGCAAGGAGGTGTCAAGAAAAAAGTATAAGTTGAATCAAGGGTAAAAAGATAAAGTTGCAAGTCAGGTCATCCACTATTTTGGAAAGTAAAGGAAGTAGGAAACTAGGATGACAGGAAAATCAGAGGGATTTAGAGAAGCGTTTTGAAAAGGCGTACAATCCTTAGAGCTTCAAATCTAAACATAGCTGATGTGGATGAAATTGTTTTTGTGCTAAACATATTTTTCCCCTCCACATAACCCTACTTTTGCTCTCCCTCTCTTATTCTCTTCACACTTTCCAGAAAAATGGAATAAAATAAAACCATACATGCGGTATAAAGTATGACTTCTGTATAGTATAAAGCAGGAAAGTGAAGGAATCCAAAAAGCAGCTGCTTAAAATTAAATCATCATGTTTTCAAAAATGTGTTAATTTCTAAAAGTTTCAATGTATTCAAGAAAAGGCCTGTTTAAACTATTCTCTATTATTTTTCACTGCTGACTGAGAGTTCAGCAGGATCACCAGTACAATTTTAAAGAATATTCTCTCTCTTAGCCATTGTTACAGATAGAAGCAGGAATTAAGCACAGTCTTTTTGGCAGCTGAACTTGGATCAAAAAGACATTCATAACTCCTGCAGGGTTTTGCTTTCTTGGGTCAAGGCAACTTTCACAAGGCTTCTTTCTACCCTTTACCTTTTTTCATAGACGATTATATCCCTGGTTAAAATCCAGACATTTACTGCCAGACAAGAACAAATTACTTTGACCAGGGACTCTCCTGAAGGTAAAATTCTTCAGCAGCAGGTGGGTCTGACCCACAACCTTTGTCTGAGCTCTCTGGTTCATTAACTTGTAATTTCTCATACCAAAAGTGAAATATTTCCCCTCTGACTTGCAGGCTGATGTATTTATTCAGATTGGGAACAGTATACCAGAACAGGGATGGCCAATATGGCGTCCTTCAGATGTTGTCAGACTCCCAACTCCTATCGGCCCCAGCAAGCATGGCCTAAGGTCAGGGATGATGGGAGTTGTCTAGCAAAAACTGCAGGGTACTACATTGGCTATCCCTGTCTCACTGGTACATGTTTTCCTGGTGTCTAAAATACAACTGGGTTGCCGTATGTCCGGAATTTCCTGGACATATCCGGAATACTGCAGTCGGAAGCAGTGTCCGAGCGGAAATTGCTAAAATGTCTTGGGAAATCAGACATTTTGGCCAAAACGAAATACAAGGAAAGGGAGGTGGCTAACTCAACCTGACATGACTAAATGATGCTCCTGACTCTCAGACTGAGGCCGCCAGGAGGACGCTTCTCTGTCCAGAAGGATTTCATGATCTAGTCTAATGTCATGACTCACCTCAAGAAGCAAAGAATCCACAGACATTGGTAAAAATTGGTAGAGAAGGTAGCAAGTCTACCCAAC